CAAGATTGTTTCTCAGGCATGTAACAGGGTTTAGACTGAAAAGGGAGGGGTTGGGATGGAAGTTAGTAACACATGGACAGTTAACAAGCAGCCAGATCCAACTATTCCTCTGGCACAAGATCTTCCTAAGCCTGCTTTAGAGGGAGGAGCTCTGTTGTACAATCCTCTGTCAGCAAAAGGTATTTGCATGCACAAGGCAGGTTTGCCAGTCTATTGACACCAACGAGGTATATAACAAAACATCCTTCTCTTGAAATTTCCAAGTCCTTTTTGCTTTTAGCATGGCATTCATACCTAAATTCTGCTTTTCATCCAAAGCTCTGGGAGGCACAGCAAAAGTCTACAGGGAACAACTGAGGTACAGCTCTGAAATCTGGATGTTCGTTCAGCAGCAGTTCGGGGGAACTTGCTGGGCAATGCAGAAACTTGAAAAGGGTTGCCTGCCCTTGACTCAAAGGCTACAATAACCCCAAAAGAGTATAGTGGCTTGCCTGATCTAGTATTCAAACAAACAAGCACGAAAGTCAGAAAATCCATCTGGTGTAGTTAAGTCTATAAGCCAGTTAGATTTTGAATTATTAGGAAATTTCCTATCAAGAGGTAAACCAAGTGTCTGCACAGCTACCAAAAGCATGAGGACCTGTCTGGAACTGAAGCTCCTGTTGAGGTGGCTAGCCTAATCCAGAGTGCTTTGAGAATGTCTTCACAACTCAAAATGCATTCTGAGGACCTGCTTAAAGATGGACAGAGTTCAGAGTCCTTTCCCCCCACCTCAATTGGTAACATCAGGCGTCAAGTAACTACTTACCATAACTGGGCAGTTCTTGTTAGTTTGCTCATTCCTTAATGTGGTTTACTGATCAAAGCTTGTTCAGGTTCTCATTAATTATTGGCATCAATTATGCCAGCTAAGCATTGGTATTAGAAAACAGTATCTTATCCAACTCTCACCCCTCACTTCCCTGAGGTTCCCTAGTGAAATCTATCCAATTCCCTTTGCACCAGAAGGGCAAGTCAATAGCCCAGGTAAGATAAGAATATTGGAAAGAGTGTGACTTCTATAAGTTAGCTGCTGGGTGAAGTGCATTCAGAGCTCCATCGGGAGGAACACAGTTAGTTGCCCTTGTGTTACAGAAGCCTGAATGGAGTCCAATGGAAGTTGGGTATTTAATGCCACTAGTCCTGTGATGGAAGGAACATTCTTTCAGCAGAGATTTGGCAGGCAAAACCGCTTGGCTTTCAGGTGTATCTTGAATGCCCTTTCATGCCAAGAGGCCTTAGCAGGTGTTTAAATTGATTAACAAGTCACTTTAATGATTTGTATTGTTTACAATGGTATTTTATGTTTTACAGCTGTGCACTACCCACCAACCATAGTTTACGATATGGCTGTATAGAATAAACAAATGTTCTGATTGCAACTAACAGTTTCAGGCAGGATGGAACATTTACAAATGTTTTAGAGTGGCCTTTGAGAAAAGAAGAACTCGCTGTTTTAAAACAAAGATCAAGACTGTTGCTTTAACAGCCCTGGCCAAAGCAACATTGTTTCTGGATGCTTCCAATCCTGCTCTGGACAGCAGTCCTTTTGCTTATCTTCTTCACATGCTTGCTATTGCAAGCAAGGCTCCAGTCTTGCCCCACTGTAGGTCACTGTCCCCAAATGCTGTTTATCGAGCCTAAAACTGTCAAAACTACACTAAGTCTCCAGGTCCAAATATCTGATGGTACACTTTACAGAACTGATCATACAGTATAAAGTTTCTTCTTTTTTATCCTTTGTTGTTATCATGTTAAAACAACAGAAATGCAAACATACCCCCACCCCAGTTTAAGAGTCCATATCTTATTTAATAAGCTAAAAACCTGGGAGAAGAGGAATGTTTTTTGCCTGGCATATAAAGTTATGTAACAAAGGTGCCAGATGAGCCTCCCTGGGGAGAGCATTCCACAAATGGGGAGCCACCACAGAAAAGGCCCATTCTCATGTTGCCACCTCCAGAACTCTCATGGAGAAGGAACACAAAGGAGAGCCTCAGATGACGAGCACATGGTCGGGGTTGGTTCATATGGGTAGAGGCAGTCCTTGAGATATTGCGGTCCTGAGCCATTTAAGGCTTTATAGGTCAAAACCAGCACTTTGAATTGCAGCAATCTAACCTAGAAGTTACCAGAGCATATACAACAGAAGTTAGGCTATCCCTATTCACATAGGGGTGCAACTGGGTCGTCATTTGAAGCTGATGAAAGATACCCTGTGCCACTGAAGCCACCTGAGCCTTAGGTGATGCAAAAAATCGAAAAGTACCTGTTTCTTCAGAGAGAGTGTGTGTAACCCCATCAAGAACAGGCAACCCCCCATCCATCACGTTCTAAGGAACTGCCCACTAAAAGTGCCTCTGTCTTATCTAGATTGAGCTTCAGTTTGTTGGCTCTCATCCCGTCTGTTACTGAGGCTAGACCTCAGTCTAGCACATTTACTGCCACACCTGCAGATGTAAAGGAGAATTAGAGCTCTGGGTCATCAGCATATTGCTGACAATATACTCCAAAACTCTGAATGACCCCACTAATGGTTTCATGTAGATGCTGTACAGCATGAGGGATAAAACTGAACAATAGGGCCAAATAGCACTCCCAAGCATCACCTTCTGGAAACAACTATCCAAGTAAGACTTGGGAGAGTCACTCCAAAAGGATACCGTAGCCAATGGCATTGAAAGCTGCTGAGAGGTTGGAATGAACAGGGACATATTTTCCCCCCCTCTCTCCCAAAAGAGGTCATCATACAGGGCAACCCAAGCAGTTTCTGTGCCAAAACAGGGCCTAACCCCCAATTGAAATAGATCTTAAAAATCTGTTTCCTCCAGGAGCACCTGAATATGACCCTTGCCCAAGAAAGGGAGATTGCCAACTGGCTGGCAATGATTTTTCTAATCTGGGGAGGGTTTTCCCCCCCTTTATCAATGTTATAATACAGTGGTACCTCAGGTTAAGTACTTAATTCGTTCTGGAGGACCGTACTTAACCTGAAACTGTTCTTAACCTGAAGCACCACTTTAGCTAATGGGGCCTCCTGCTGCCGCTGTGCTGCTGGAGCACGATTTCTGTTCTCATCCTGAAGCAAAGTTCTTAACCTGAAGCACTATTTCTGGGTTAGCAGAGTCTGTAACCTGAAGCGTATGTAACCTGAGGTACCACTGTAATACTTTAAAAACATCCTTTTTTACCACAAGTAATATTAAACATATAAATTGAAAACAAAGATATCTAAGATTCAATATCAGAACAAATGGCAACAATAATCAGGAAACATTTCACCTCTCTCTCTAACTCTTGCTTATCATTGTGATTGTACTCTTTATGGTTCTCTCCTCCCCCTTCCACATTTTAATCAATATTCTTCAATACTGCCCTAGTCTCATGATTTAATTTAGTCAGTCAATAAACGTTTAAAGTCTTAATGTTTTACTGCATTAATGAATCTTAGTAGAAGAATGGCCTACCAAATTCCATAACAGTTAATCAGTTTCAAGTCATGTGTAGAAGCAATTAAGTAGATAACACAGGATGCCAATAAAAAAATCATTCTGGAACCTTAATGGTTTGGCTACCATTTCAATTGCCAATCTTTCAATCTTAGGACTAAGAGGTGCGTATCCTTGGATAGGGTGCAGTTGCTTAGCAGACCTGACCCGCTTCTGTACAATGAGTTCAATGTTTAATTTTGCTTTTCAACTCTTAAGCACACAGCTCAATGAGACCTGTATCCAAGTTTATGTTTAGTGGCCCATTTCTGCTGCAAAGAGGCAAAACAATACAGATTGCTTGCAACCATCTTCGACAAATGGGCAGAAACTAGTTTTAAAACTGTTTAGTGTGCTTTTAAAAAAAGAAGTTAATAGGAGTACATTGTATCATTTTGGAATTGCGAAATGAACCGCGTGCACCCACATACACAAAGCCAGTCTGTTTGAGCTCTTGTGCAAAATAAACATACATGTATCCATATCCACAATGCTTATCCAGGCCTGTTTGAACAGGCTGAATAAGTTTTTTTATATGCAAAATGCACACACACACACACACACACACCACCCAGAAGCACTAAATTGTCTATAACCAAATCTGGATCAAGGCCAACACAAGTAGATTAATATAAATGGCACTTTCCCCATCAACTTCATTGGAGTGGAGAGTGAACTCCCTATCTGTCAAGGTTAAAAGGGGCAGTTCTTCTTTTGCCTGCCCTTCCTCCCTTCTTTCAAAGTTAAGTAAGCACTGCAATTCAGGAGCCTAATCTTCATTCCCAATGTATATGGAATTGTGGAAACCATAAAGCAGTTTGAGAATGTCAGCTAATTTGATGCTGTACATCCGCTTTGGCTTTGGTCAACCAAGACCATATAGACATATAATTTAAACTAAAACCAGATGCACGGCACAAACATCTGGATACTAACATAGGGATATGAGCTGATAAACAGCAGTCTTGCTCTGATAACCTTCGTTGGGTCATATAAAGTCTAAAACTGAGCAACTTGGTCTTCTTTATCTGAAGCGTCAGCATTTTATAAAACTTCTGCTCTGCCCAGGAGCCAAAGGAATTCATTTTAACCTTCCAAACCAAAAAAGCTTATTGTAAGCAAACTATACAATAGATAGTCTGAGATCCATCTGTGTGCTGAATTTCAATTATTCCAATTATTATGAGAACCAAGATATCCTGTACATATTAAAGTTTATAATTCCAAAATAGAATATTAGGGTCCCCCCTCAATTGTATCTGCAAAGACACAAGAACAACCACAATCAAACAAGAACTCTGAATAAGCCCTTCTGATTTCAGTTTTTACATCTTTTTTTAAAACTTACTGCTCTTATAAGTATTGCCACACTCCAGAAATTCCCTTAAAATTGGTCACAATTGAGTTCACAGTTAATTTTTTTTCTGTACATGTTTAGCTAGATCTTGCCTCTTTTTTTCTTTTTTCTTTTTTGAGCAGCCATTGTTAAAGACCTTCCCTAAATAAATATTTTTTTCTGCATAAAATCCTGTTAGGACACCTATGAAGTTTTGGTCATAAAAAATACACTGTGAATATACTCTACCACAATGGGGGAAAACATTCTTGGCTATTTTTCCTGCCACTTTAGTGTTATCTCTAACCTACAATTTCTATACCTACTCTTCCTGATCAGTATGCCAAACTTTCTCTACCTCTGCCCACCCCCCTGCAACAACGGGCCCTCACTAAATAAGGACTTCCTGCAATTAATTCAAGTCAGTCACTACACCTTCCATATGCTATGTACTATATACCTATTTATTTGATGACCACATAAGCAAAGCAGCGTCTCAGGAGTGCATCAGTACATTTATGCTGACTGTAAAATTATTACACGTGTCACAAAGAACTGATACTGTACTTAATTCTCACAACTTCATCCAAAAAATAAATCCCTGAGACTTTTTTTTTAAGCAGTCTACAGCTGGAATGCATTAGTGAAATCTTTGCCATATACTTTTAGCCATCAAGACTGAACTCCAGTGCATCGTTATTTCAATAACTCAAAAGAGCTTTAAAAGTAGTTAAATGCCTTTTTTGTGGGGAGGGAGGGATATGTAAAGTAAAAGGAGGTGTAAAGTAGAGAGGGTTGTCATTTGCACAAAGATCAGGCAAAACCTTTCCCACAAGGACACCCGCTCGGTTCATGACTTTCAGAATATATCTATTGATTGTGTTTAATGAAGCAGGCTTTAAAGTCATACAACCCTAAACGAAGACACAAGCCAGGACTTATGACTTATAGCCAAGTATAAATTCTCAGTTGGGCTGGGTGGACACACTTAATTCAAAAAAGCGAACACCGTGGCCAAGATCTCAAAAAGGTGAAACTGTTTGCTTATGCCTTTCCTCTAACCATCCCTTTCCAAAATCCAGCTCCAACCCACCAGAGGCAGATTAGATCTGATTTGTTACAATTTTAAAAAGGGACACAGTAAGAGTGTGAGAGTCCATGAACTATATGCAGGGCAGTATTGCCGTTTTAAAGTCATGTTACAGTTTTGAAGTCATGTACCAAAACAAAGCATGCATCTTAAGCTTGCTCCTGCACACTGCTTTGTGTCTGGTCAGAAGCTTTAAGAGAGCAGACAAAACTCCACTGCAGGGTGATCTGTAGCCAGCGGGGCTCTAACCTTACTGCAAAGTTAAAGGGAGAAGAGGGAGCCTTCCTGGTATCTCAGGGCTTCCTCGACTGCATTTCGTCGCTTCCCCTTCCCTCCTCTCAGCATCCCGAGGAAGACCCAAGGATCTCAAAGGGTAAAGCATCTCCCAACTTCTTCCCAATGCTCAGCACCTCTCTCCCGCCTCCCCAAAGAAAGACCCGCGCGCACAAGAGCATGTGCAGAGTGCCTCTCCCATCCCAGCCAGTATCTGCAATAAGAGGAAAGGAGGCTTCTCCAGAGGGTAAAATGCAGGGGCGCTTAAGAGTTTGAGGTTCCCTCCGCTGCAAAAATTACTCAAGTTTGGGTCCCGCCCTCCTCACACCCGCCTAAAGGGGTTGAGGGGAAGGCAGTTTTCAAGGCAAGAGCCGAAGCAGCCCTTCTCTTACCCATGGCGTCTGGCAGGCGTGCAGGTGGCTCGGCTGGCGGCGGCAGTGGCGACTTCCCCGCTTGCCCTTCAAGGCTGGCTTTCCCCGGCTGGCTGCGAGGCGACGAGCAAACTCCTCCCGGCGGCGTCCTCCTCTCTCGGAACAGGCGCCTCAGCTGCTCCTCCGCGCGCCGCTCGCCTGCGCCCGCCCTGGATGCGCTCTCGCGCCTGCTTGGCCGAAGGGGGCGGGGCCTGCGCGGAGCCGCCTCAGAGAGGAGACCCCGCCGCGGGTCCGCAGGCCGGGGAGGCGGGAAACTCCGCGGAGGCAGCTCTTCGCCTCGGACGCCTTTGTGAGGGGCGCAGCAAGGCAGGGCGAGGAGACTTCAGGTGCCTGGAGCTTCCCGGGCATTGTGTGGCTCCCTACATGCGCCTTGAACCCAACTCTCTCTCCTGGGGGAAGGATATCTCTCGAGTAACACCATTGGAGCTCTAAGGAATACACGCTTGCAGTGGTGCGCGCGCGCGCGCCCTCAGGTGCGACGGAGATAAGAAGGCGCCTTCTATGGAGCCGGCCCAGTGGCCCATCTAGCTCGGTTTCTAGATGGCACCTGGGACCTTCTCCACGCCCAACAGAGGATCCACCAATGAGCTACGACCTTCAGTGTTGGTGTTGTTGTTTAGTCGTTTAGTCGTGTCCGACTCTTCGTGACCCCATGGACCAGAGCACGCCAGGCACTCCTGTCTTCCACTGCCTCCCACAGTTGGGTCAAACTCATGCTGGTAGCTTCGAGAACACTATCCAACCATCTCGTCCTCTGTCGTCCCCTTCTCCTTGTGCCCTCCATCTTTCCCAACATCAGGGTCTTTTCCAGTGAGTCTTTTCTTCTCATGAGGTGGCCAAAGTATTGGAGCCTCAGCTTCAGGATCTGTCCTTCCAGTGAGCACTCAGGGCTGATTTCCTTAAGAATGGATAGGTTTGATCTTCTTGCAGTCCATGGGACTCTCAAGAGTCTCCTCCAGCACCATAATTCAAAAGCATCAATTCTTCGGCAATCAGCCTTCTTTATGGTCCAGCTCTCACTTCCATACATCACTACTGGGAAAACCATGGCTTTAACGATACAGACCTTTGTTGGCAAGGTGATGTCTCTGCTTTTTAAGATGCTGTCTAGGTTTGCCATCGCCTTTCTCCCAAGAAGCAGGCGTCTTTTAATTTTGTGGCTGCTGTCACCATCTGCAGTGATCATGGAGCCCAAGAAAGTAAAATCTCTCACTGCCTCCATTTCTTCCCCTTCTATTTGCCAGGAGGTGATGGGACCAGTGGCCATGATCTTAGTTGAAATACCTAATGAAATACCTAATGAAGTGGGTGTGGCCAAAGGTCCCTCAGGTGCCCTAGTGTGTCCTCCCTCCACCTGCAGCTTCCCCCATCTCTAGGCTTGGAAAAAATTTTGTGCTGGTTAAATTTCTGTTTGTCAGTACTTCAGTTATAAAAAAGCACAGGAGAGCAGCTAGGGGAAGTGTATCCCTTGAAGAAATTGGATATATTGTAAGGGGGTGCAGTGGTTGGAGATTATCAGCACTGGAGATGGGCAGTTGAGGAGACTTGAGGTTCATAATCCCCACTTGCCCATAGAGTTTACCTTGGGTGAGCTAACCCTACTTCACCGGGATGTGAGGCTACAAAGGGTGAGAGGAGAACCACGGACAACCTTGGAGGAAAGGCAGAATATAACAGTAATATCATAAATGGGGTATTTGGTACACCACTGTTAGACCGAGAAATACAAAGCAAACTAGGAAGTCCCATCTGCATGTTACAATGTGACCCAGCATCATACCATTTTAAACAGGCATGATGGCTTCCTCCAAAGAATCCTGGGAACTCTGGTTTCTTAAGGGTGAAGAGAATTATTAGGAAACCGCAACTATTTCCCGCATTGTAGTTGTTTAGTTGTTTAGTTGTGTCCGACACTTCGTGACCCCATGGACCAGAGCACTCCAGGCACTCCTGTCTTCCACTGCCTCCTGCAGTTTGGTCAAACTCATGTTAGTAGCTTCGAGAATACTGTCCAACCATCTTGTCCTCTGTCGTCCCCTTCTCCTTGTGCCCTCCATCTTTCCCAACATCAGGGTCTTTTTCAGGGAGTCTTCTCTTCTCATGAGGTGGCCAAAGTATTGGAGCCTCAGCTTCACGATCTGTCCTTCCAATGAGCACTCAGGGCTGATTTCCTTAAGAATAGATAGGTTTGATCTTCTTGCAGTCCATGGGACTCTCAAGAGTCTCCTCCAGCACCATAATTCAAAAGCATCAATTCTTCGGCAATCAGCCTTCTTTATGGTCCAGCTCTCACTTCCTTACATCATAGAGCTACAATATTCAGAGTGTATTAACAGTCAGTCCCTCTTCCTAGGGAACTCTGAGAATTATGAACGCCTAACAACTCTCAGTAGAAATGTTGACATGCTAATGTGCTAAATTATGGTACCAAACCAGTTCAAACCTGCTGGCACAGATTCTCCAATTAATATAGGGGGGGAAATCTACTGTTTGATCTTATGGCCTTTCAAGTAAAGGCAAAAATTCCAGTAAGTGACTAAGATGGATGTCTAAATGATGCTTCTAGGCTGCGGTCACCGATTCGCCTTTTATTATTTTAGACCACATGGGGAGAAATCGTTCACATGCTGTTACACACACAAATTGTTATGTTTGCTTTGATAGTCAGAACATATTTTATTTTATTTTACCTTTTTAGATCATTGTTCACACTGTGGGCGATAATAGTCCTGAAGTTTCTACACCTGAATGTGTGATTTCCAATTACATTTTTCAGCTATTATGTTCTATTATTGTGTGTGTGTGCCATATCATAATATCAATTCAGATTATCGAGAGTGCCAGGGAAAGAGCAAGCCATCTTTGAGATTGATATTTACAAGGTTATTCCATTATGTTCTGAAAATTATCACTGCTGAGCTGAGCACTCGGGGAAACTGGAGATAATGATCATAGATAGAGAAAGTGCACGATTCTTAACCAGATGTTAGCTTCATAGTGTATAAGAAGCAAAAACAAAAAAACCCAAAACCCTGCAGGCAGAGGAATGCTGTGTTCTGTACAATTAGGAAAAAAGTAGCTCATTTTATATGGTTCATTGATTAATTTTATGGGGAGGCCAATGGAGCATGCAAGTTATTAAACAGAAGTGTGGTCCAGATCTTATAGATATCACTATACAGGCATCTTTACCTATTATTTAAAACATTCATAAAAATGGGTGATGGAGCAAAGTGGCTTTTAATGTGATTAAATTGAAAAGTCTTACTGCAGTTCCTTGGAAGATCATATGCTGGAATGGGTGTTGTGATTTCAAAATGGATTAAAATGAAATAAAAAAATTATTTATTTAATACATTTGTTTACGGTAATTCCCCTCAATATAAGTATTTCCAGCAATAAAACAGAACAACAAAAAACCCCATGCAATATTGACTCAGAGAATGAAACAGCAGCTAAAACCATTAAGACCTAGCCAGTTAAAAGTATAGTGTGAGAAAATGGGGGTTGGTCTAAACAGCATAGAAGACCCCCCCCCCAATCACTCCATGGTTACAAGTTTGGGGTTGCACTAAATGCTGGGGTTTTGTTAAAGCACCGTCAAAATTTTGTAACTCTGATAGTAGAAAGAAACTGCTAAAGCAGTCAAAGTGAATGGACGTGCTTAGATTGGCAGATTCCTTTTCTTTGGGAAAATGTTTCTTTGCATAAGTAAGAACATGGTCAAGTATAGGTGATGTGTTTCCACAGAAACAAATGGTCCTTCCATGCAGATGTTTATTGTGGAATTGGTGATATCCATGCACATGTTTAATGCATTGTCCACATGATGCTGTTGTCATCAAAATGCCAGCCTGTACTTTTTTTTTTATAAGATATTTATTGAGATTTTCAAAATGTTACAAAACAAAAATAAAGAAAGAAGAAAATACAAAATAAAAGTGGTTAACAAAGTAAACAAAGAGAGAAACAAACCACTTCCAACAATACGAATACAAATTCAAAATAAGAAAAAAAAAACGAAAAATACCAAAAATACACGACAAACATTTAAAAACAAATTCATTATTCTCAGATCCTCAACTGTCATTACCTTCTTTCTTTGACCTCCTCCTCCTCCCTTTCTTTGTATCCTAGTTATTAATTATCCCAGCAAATCCTTTCCATATTTCATAATATTCTGTCGTTACATTACCTTAAACTGTTTTAATCTTATCTTTTTATAAAAAAAACCTTGAAACTTAAAGCTTAAGTCTTATCCTTACCAACTTCTCATAACCATAATATTCTTTCATAATTCTTTAAGCATCTTTACTAAAGCCGAGTAGTTTCATTCCAACATTTTTTTAACATTCATCAATTTTATAAAACAGTCCTAATAGTAAAAAAAATAAAAGAAATACAAACAAATCCAATCTTCATCCAGCGTCCCTTCCTCCTGGTCCCGGGTTTTGTCAGTCCTTATTATCCCATCGATCTAGCGCATTAACCTGGCAACCTTATATCCGAGGCCCTCAAGTCTCTTCCATGTCCCTTCCGCAGCTCTTCTTCATATTTGTAGCTGTATTTTCCCTTGTCTCCTGCTCGTGGTAACTCCAGCTTGGCAATATTTTTGACCCTTCTCGACAGATCAGCCCCTTTTCCATATTCAACACTAAATTCCATGTGATGTTTAAAAACATGTTTCAAAAACCCTCCAAAATTAAGAGCCCCCACAATCCCAAACATCTCACGGCCCATTGCCAGATTTGAAAAGTCCAAACATCCCAGCATAGGGGGGTCAATCCAGCCCCCCATTTCCAAGCCAAACCAAACTTTTTCTTTCCAAATCTGGCTTTTTCCAAGTTCATTTGTCAAATCCAAAGCTCATATTCCTGTTGGGCCTGTTCTGTTAGGACGCACTCCTGATTTAATTCCTGGGTGGGCTCCACATATTTTCCCACTGTCTGTTCAAAATTTCCCACTGCCTGTTCAAAATTTCTAGTCGAAGTCGCCATCAAATTCATCTTCTCATGTAACTGTTCCAGTAGGGCATTTGTTTTATATAAAGCACACAACAGAACTTCTGAATACATTGTCCTGCAAGGTCAAATGTCTATTCCCACGATTGTAATCTGTAACAGCTGCCAGCTCCCTGGCATTAGTTACAGTTTCACAGTCTCCCTCTAGGGGGAAAACTTCTATTTGTTCTTGCAACAAAGTTTTCCTTTTTGAGATATTTTGTCAATATTTGTTCCTTTAAAATGCGAAAGGAAACAGTGGAATCACTATGTTTCTCTTCTTTAGCTATCTGTCAAAAACGTTTGTCTCTGGTCAATGAGCTTCAAACGTCAGTCCTGACACCCCGCTCCAG